TTTACACTTGACTGCTTCAGCTATTAGTCAGTTGATGAACACCTCCCTTCTCCCCCTCACCCTCTGAAAGATGAACTAAGATTCCAAATTCAAAGCGTTCTCGCCTCCGAGTCTGAAGGTTGTGGGTTCGTGCCCCACCTTGGGACTTTTAAATGATCGGATCTAACACGACGCCCCATCGCAAAGGTGGTGTATTGTCAAAAGCGCTGTCCTTCAAATGAGATATTAGATCGAGAACCCGTCTGCCTATTCAGGTGGACTATAAAGATCGCCCGGCACTATTCGAAGAAGAGAAGGGTGTTTCCCACCCTGGCCTCCCGTCTGACAATCCTCCAGATAAAATGGGTCATTTACTCCATGGCTGTTTGTGAGACCGTCGCTCAGCCCAAATTGGCTGGAGCGTTTTTAGGAAAGTGAAAATGAATTTGAGGTATAATAATGCTGGACTGTTTCTTTACTGGGGCATTTATTATATGAGCTGACAATTGCTTAGAGCCATGCTGTAAATATTACAAATACTCCTTCCTCGCATTGCAGCGTTCTGCCCTGTAGGATTGGCTCGTCTTATTCCTGACAAGCGAAGCCTTTGACTATGATTCACAGTGACTGTCATAGCACGACCGAACATATCGGCATTCGGGTTCTTTTTATTTTAAGCGCGAGAAACTAAAATTAAGAGCAAAGCTGCTCCTTTCCTTACAAAAAAATCATGAATCTGAACGTCACTGTGAAAGGAAAGAGAATTTAGTGATAAACTTCTGATTAAGTCTCAAGTGAGTTTGCGTAGAGGTTATGGATGAATTCTTTCATTTCTTTTGAGGATTCCTATGTAGGTTACAATTCACCATCGACTGCCTACTGTTCAGTGTCGAGAAATTCAACTTTCCATCCAACTTATTTTCATGATATTCAACTGGCACCTCAGAGCAATACGAAACTGCACAGTTACGGAGATCTTAGGCAACGTAGGATAAAAGCCAACTCCACAGTGAATCTTTTGATATTTTAAGAGCAAAAGGAATAATCTTTGCATTCGATATTGTGCATTATTACGTTGCCGAGACATCGCAAATCACTTTGCAGCATTTACTGGAAAGTGTTGTGACTGTGCATTTTGTAGGTGAACTCAGTAGCCAATTTGCAAACAGCAATGTCCCTCAAACAGCCATCAAGTGAATCAGCCGCCTTTCGCCCACAGAAATATACAGTCAATTCACTTTATAGTATATTCTGTGAAGCGTTTTGAGATCTCTTGAAGACGTGGTAAGGTGCTATATCAAATGCAAGGATTATTATCATTAGTATTATTATTATAAACCACTGTCCTACCTCAGAGCTGAGGACAGGTGTGCAAAGAGAGTGGAAAAGAGAGAGTAAGAAAATAAGTTTAAACATTGAGGGAGGAAGAGAAATGAAGGGCTGGTTTCAAGGAACTGATGAACTGTTGTGTCTTTTTTTTGCTTCTGCCTAATTATTGTGGATACTCCGGATTTAAACACAAGAACTGGGGACGAAAAGTATTTTTGGAACAATGCTGTACTTTAGAATTAGGTGCAGTCGAAAGAGCCGTGCAGTGAGACGGAAGAACTTGAAAATAAAAGCCAGTCAAAAACGCCCTTTTTAGAGGTGGTCTTATCCAACTGTTTTGGTTGGAAGATTATTAATGTTTTACTTTAGAGGATGGCAGGCAATTGTGATGGATAAAACCCACATCCTGTTCGCTATTGGGGGAACGTTCCAACCATGGTTATTAAGAGTTTCGAGGCTGTTTGACTGGATAATTAAACTCTTGATACTGTGTTGGTCAGTTTTTTTTTGTTATAGGCAATTGCAGTGGTGTTCCCCTTCATGTCGTGCCTTGCAGAGCGCATTTATTCATTTTAATGGAGCTCTAGAGGCACTGAGCTCACTGTGCAAGTTCTCGTTTATTTCAGTTTTTTTCATAGAATGTCACGGCACAGAAGGAGGCCATTCGGCCCATCGAGTCTGTGCCGGCTCTTTGACAGAGCAAGTCACTTTCACTAGAAGGCAGGGCATCCTTTTTTTAGCGATATCGATCTCTAGGTTTCGGATGTAAACTGCGGGGCGGAGGAGGGAGAAAAAAAACAACTGGCAACAACGCAGGGGTGTGTGATTGGGTGGGGGGGGTCTTTGCTTGTGCAGCTCAGGACACTACAAAATTCAGACTCTGTCCGTTCCTTTTCTTGGACGATAGCAAACTATATAATGGTCAGCTGTGTATCCGACTTCCGGTGTGATCCCGAACAGGAACTTGCAGAATTTGGTCTCAATTTCCGACACAAACCAATTGGAGCCTAGCCGTGACTTTGCTGCTTGCGAGTGCTACACCTTTCAATCCCTCTGCCTGGCTGCAGTGAAATAACAAGCGGGTCTATTTATGAACCCAGATGTTCGATCTGTAGCAGTAGGTGACGCTCGCTTTTGACAGGCATGAGCCATGGTGGAAGAGAAAGGCACTTAAAAAAACATGCTCCTTCTCAGGCTAAATGCCCACAATAGACATCTTGAGGAATCAGGAAGTGACAGAATATAAAGTGATTTGTAAAATAAAACCAAACCTCTCTGTGCCCAAACGTTCCGGGATTAAGTAAGAAGGGAACATACTCCCTAGCTTCCTTCAAATCCCATCCCTAACACGCCTAATAATAATCCCTCCAAAACCCAAAACAATAATAAATTGGTCATTTTCAATCTACGACTGTTTGTGGGACATTGCTGTGCGCAATTGGCTGCCGCGTTCGCCCACAAATATACAGTCAATTCACTTTACAGTGTGTTCTGTGAAGCGCTTTGGGACATCCTCCCGACGTGAAAAGCGCTATATCAAATGCAAGGATTATTATTATTATTATTATTATTATCCCTAGACGCTCTTTTTCAACCATGCCTTCGGTCACCCTCTTACCCCGACCTGCCCTCCACCCCTCCAGATCCCAACCCCCCAGCTCGGGTCCAAATCCGTAACTATCCAATGCCTTGGGACGTCCTCCCGCTGTGAAAGGAGGAAGAAGTATTAAAGAAATAATGATTTTTTTTAGATAATAGGGTAGTTATCGGGACTTTTGGGGTTAAGGCTTGGGTTCCATTTCTTCAGACAAATGGAAATTGAAGTATATGTGTAAACTGCGGGTGGGATGGGTTGGGTGGGGTGACTAGTTTTGTATATTCTTAAGCATGGCAATGGGTTTCAGTGTTTATCGGTCACCGCTAAACAAATAAAATCTAGAACACCTTCGTTCTGTCAGGTGTCGGGAAGAGTTCAGTGTTAATGTTATTCTTGAATGAACAAATCTGCACTTAAAATGAATCTAAACATGCCAGACACCTACAAACCTCCCTACTGTTGACTGGCTGCGTTCTACCCACCAATTTAGGTGTCTAATAACCTCACATAATGATCGTCAGCATGGATTCTTCTCGAGACGTTCCTGCTGCGAATTGTAGTGAAAACAGGACAGCTCAAAATTAATCTGTCTGCTACTTGATGCAAACGCTGATGGCACAGCTCCAGGTACCAGCACAGACAGGGCTTAACAGTGAGGAGGTCCACTAACCTCGTGTCTGAAAATTCCTTAACAAAACAAACCACTCAGCCCTTTTGCACATTACACTTTACTGCTAACCCTTGCGCATTGTAAACGTCAGCATGTTACTGGAAAATGCTAAAACTCAGCAAGGTCTTCCGACCCACTGCTGTGTGTCCGCCCGGCTCAGTGGGTAACACTCTCGTCTCCTGGGGCAGACGGTTGTGGGTTCGAGCCCCACATCTGGACTTCGAACTCACACTTTTGAACTGACGCGGCAGTGCAATGGACATTGTAGAAAACCATCACCCTTGTGTGTGACAGAGGGTCTCGCAGGCTTGATCTCTTAGCAGCACGAGCTGTGTGTGCGGTGGACAGATGATAATAATTTGGCCACTCAGTCCACGGCTGTTTGTGGGACACCGCTGTGCGCAATTGGCTGCCGCATTTCGCCCACAAAAATTCACAGTCGCGACACTTTACCGTATATCCTGTGAAGCGCTTTGAGACGTTTCGAAGACTTGATAATGTGCTGTAGCAAATGCAAAGACTATTATTGTACTATTAGAGATAACTGGCAGAGACAACCAGATTGGAAGAGCCTTTGAGAGAGCTCGAGGTTATTGTAGGTTTTAACGCCCTCCCTCTCTCCCCCACCCCACCCCATTTTATATTGTAAGCCGGTCAACAGAGTGACAGCTCGAACAAGTTGGATCCTAATGAAATGCGACAGACTTTAACCAGTTAACCATAGGATAACCTGTTGCGTTACACAATGCAATGCAACATGTCACTGTTTGCCAGGGGCGCGAGAGAGAAAGGAAAAAAAAACCTCAGGAAAAGCACTACAAACACAAATCAAAACAATCTGAGGGACTGCTTTTGCGATGTGATTTTGCATGCAGGATCGAGGCTTCTGTTTAACATCTTCTGCGCTTGTGTGTCTTGCAGCACAAAGTGAGTGTTATAACCTCCGGATAATTACTATGACATGTTTATTGTGGGGGTGGGGGGGTGGGGGGGGGGGGCTAAAACCCTAAACCAGCCTCCAGCTTAATGTATACCAAAATAAAGGATAGCTTCAGACCATCCCAGAACAGGTGACTGTTCAAATGTTGCGTCACCCAGGCAACAATCCATTTACATTACACCGGGAGAAACTTCCTTCTCTTTACGAATAGTGTCGTGGGATGTTTATTGTCCACCTGAACAGGCAGATGAGGACCTCAGTTTAACGTCTCGACAACTGACTGTAGACCTGCTGGCAGTCCAAGGGTTAAACAAGCCACTACATAGCACGGTAAGAGTTCCTGGCGATTACATGATATTACATTAAAATGTTCTTTTTGGTGACGAGAGTGTCACATGAAAGCTGGACAGAGACCAAATAAAGAACGTCTTTCAGCCGAATTCAATTCACGCTGAATATGATCAAACGGATGAATCAGGACTTACATTAACAATGGCTTCTTTAGTCTGTGCCATGTCTGAGATGACTCCATCTGTTATAATGAGCAGAACAAAGTACTGTGAGCCGTCCTGCACTGCTGCTGCATACCTGGTGGAATGAGAGGAGGGGAGCAACGTTAGAAACGACACCGCTAAAGACAGTGTGCAGACTGCTTAACGTTTGCTAAATATCTGTCTGCTTGGACCTTTTTGTGACGGACTTTGTAACCCAGGTCATCAACCTCTTTCTGGCAGGTATCACACAAGCGCAGAACACATTCATTACATGACACACGTCCACCTTGGTTAGATGCTTGCTCGTTCTGATGGGTCTCGAAGATGAACATTTGAGGTTACAAATTTTTTTTTTTTTTGCTAATGACGTCCTAAAAATGGGAGTTGGGCTTCATGTTCCCCCCAGCACCGGAAAGAGAGATATAACTGAAGAGCGGGTTAAAAAAAAAAATGACTGAGTTAAATTCAGCGCTGGTTAGCAATCTTATAATGAGTTGAACACGCATTCTGGTGCTGAGACTGTGTGGTTGAGAACAGCTGAGTGTGGAATTGGTGGCGTAAAGCCACTGCACAGTGCTTCCACGGCTGCCTTATCTGTTCCACTGGATATAAAAAAAACGACATTACAGCAGAGTGGCATCATATGCTGTGCGGATACAATGGAGATTCAGAAGCCACTGCTAATGATTCGACAAGCTCAGGCTTTTTGGGCTTGAAGGGAGATGTCTCAGAGGAGATGTCTTATACGGGATGGGGAAAGTCCTGCAGCTTGGGTACATCCAACTGTATTGTTCTACGGAACACAACCTTTGGATATATCGAAGCAGCAGGTTTGGAGTTGCCGAAGGCAATTTCAGGATAGACACGAGGAAGTCTTTCTTGACCCAGAGGGCGACTGGCAAAGGTTATCGAGAATGGTGCTTGAAGTCAGGACGCTGAACGCATTTAAAAAAACAGCTAGATTCTGTGATGCAAAAAAACCCAGCTAAATTCTCCCCAACTCCTCCCTCTCCAGACTGCAGATCATCCAGAACTCTGCAGCCCGCGTCCTCTCCCGCACCAGGCTCCGTGACCTGTCACCCTTATCCTTAACCTCTACCCTCCCCACCCTCCATTCCTCCTGGCCCCAACCACCAGCTCGGGTACGGATCCTTGACTGTCCAGAGCCTTGGGATGTCCTCCTAACGTGAAATGTCCTCCTAACATCACCCCTGAATGGAAGAAGGCACTCAGTTCATGTACATTCAGAGGCATGAACTGAATATGCTACATGAAGGGCATTATATGAATGCAAGTTGTTGTTGCTGCTTTCTGGTTTTCCATTGACACCCAGACTTCTCATGATTGAGAAGAGCTCTGCTCTGCTCAGTCATCGGAAAATTAAAAGCAAATGAATAATGTGTGTATTTTTATTCTGAAGGTTCATTTTACGAGCGCAGACTGTGCGCCAGTGAAGATCAGTTTCCAAACAGAACCCTTTGCGTGTTCTGCAAACTCAATGAATGTTTCCGAAAAGATACTTTACAGGGCAACAGATTTTAGCTGCGTTACCGTAATAATCATAATTCGGGCCACTGTGATTTTTTGCCACGCGCGCAAGATGCTATTTGTTACTCAATAACATGCGGCAGCAAACATCTTGCTAGTTTCAATGTTAAAAGAATTCTCAAAGTGTTGGATATTTAACCGAACTTCCAATGAATTTTTTAATCTCAGCGCCTGAAAAGGTCTGAATTATCCGATCGAGATGTCCTGGATGGAGATCCAGACCCTCTTTATAATCGACGTCATTCCTTCACCTGCACAGAACAAAACGGTTGCAAAATAAAGAGGCGAGCGCGATTGTGGAAAGAGCATTAAAAAAAACAGAGCTGTTCGTTTTACCGTGCCACGTGGTTAATCACTGGTGCAAAGTTTGTAGGGCCATAAAGCTGGACTGTCTTGAGGCTCCTGTGATACGCTTCCAGAATTCCCTCAATCCCGTTGCAGTACGGATTCTCAGGGTTCCCATTCTGTAAGGTTTGCCAAGGAAGAAAAAAACACAGCCTGAGGAATTGCAATGAAAACACAGGTTCCTTATGGATCCCTTTGACACTCCTGGCACTCGTATTCCTCAGGCTTGTAAGTGCAGAGATTTTGATAGGCACAAGATATTATTACAGGATATTCCTGTTGTAACTGTTACAGTACGAGAAATATCTCACACAAAAGGAGCAGAGATTTTGCACTAAAATAGACGCCACCGTATTTTACTTAATGTCTTTGAATTTTTGTTACATATTTATTCTCAGAAGCACCCTGAGGGGTAATATTCTTTGACTTCCAGTACGTTACACCCTCTCGGCTCACTGCTTCCCTCAACGTTGTTGCTGGGGTCAGGAGCTCAGGGAATTGCATATTGCAGTCCCTGTGTTATTTTGCTGCACAACAGCAAAGACCAGTGCTTCAATGTACCACGTAATCCATCGACCATTTGGGCAATGCAGCATCTCCACACTTTAAATAGTAGGTCAAAATGTTTTACCAAAGCAAACTCGTGTGAAACTCTTCCATCAGGAGGTAGTTTAGCTCCGAAGCCCAGGGCTGGGAACATCTTATCGCTGTCGTAGTCCTGAATGATTTCACCCACAGCTTTTAGTGCCATTGCGTATGCGTTCATCTGGTACGGGTTCATGTAATGGAGCGAAGTGGACTGAGAAGGATTTCCTAATAAAAGATACAAATAAAGGCAACAATGCGGTCCAGTCCCACAGCTGATCTTTATGCCCGTTTCCTGAAACCGCGTACGGGTAATGTGCCGAGGCGGAGAGGAATTGTGTGCAGTCACACTGACCGTCTTAAAACTCAAACCAAATGGGAACCCTTTTTGTTTTGCTTGAAAGGAGTCGCCGTGAGATCCCCTCCGCCTGTTAAAGATAGCATGGCACTATTCAAAGAGAAGGGAGTTTCTCCCAGTGTCCTGACCGACGATAGCACGTAGATAAAGCTGAAAGATAAAGCTGTATACACATGGCTGCAAAAAGGACATCGCTCTGCCCAAATTGGGTGCCTTGACTGCCTACAAAATACATAGTCACTACCGCCTTACACCAATTCCTCGTGAAGCGCTCGGAGATGTTTTGCCGTTATAGACGTCTCAAATGCACAGAACGTTATTATGATTATGATTAGGTTGTTCACGTTCCTCTTGAAGGTGTTGACCTGTGTAGTGAAATTACCCCCAAATTACCTCATCTTCCAAAAGACATGGAGTTAGGGTGGTCAGGGGAAGGATATCATGCAATACCTTCACTGAAAGTTAGGATGGGTTGTTTGGCTGTGTACATGGTCACGCTCTGTCTACAATAGGAAATGACGAATAGCAATGCTCATAGGTTTACTGTCATTGCACATTAAAAACAATCAGACTGTGAAGAGAACAAGACAGGTTTCATCAAATTCAGTCACTTTTGCTTACTCCTTAATTTGAGACCTGAAGTATCTTAAAGACATTCCTATAACGGAAAGTATTTCTCTTAATCCTGATGTCAGAAAATGATCGTTCCTCTGGCTCAGTGGATTTTTTTTTCAAATGGATGGTTTAAATAATCATATTCTATAGCTCGACAGTAACGCTCTCCTTTCTAGTAAGTCAATATTATCTACCAGCAGAAGTGCGGTGATTTATACCTTTTTCAAAAAAAAAGCAGTGTATAATTATTTGCTTTCTCTGAACACTTCTAATGTTTGTCACGTTTGGAGAATTCAGTTCCTTACTTATTCAGAAATTCCAGCACTCGCACGGAATGCCTGTCAAGTTTCTATCAATCTCTATTAGAATTTTTTACGTGGATATAATTGCATCGATCTATAGGCGTTGAGGAGATTCCACGGCATCTAAAAGCTGGTTCAGAAATGACAGCGCTTCTGGAGCTGACTACCCTCCCACCCCCTCCCCGCTAAAAAAAAGGGCCACCTTTCAGACTACAGGTCACCCCTGATGTCCCTTTCTGCACATTGTGTATACACATGCCATGCGCAGGAAACATCACCGACTTTCCTTCCTGAGCATTGTGCACCTCAGGTGCCATTGACATTAATAATAATAATCCTTGCATTTGATATAGCGCTTTTCACGTCTGGAGGACGTCCCAAAGCGCTTCACAGAACACACTGTAAAGTCGTGAAGGAAGATTTTCATTGTGTTCGAGGCATTCTGATGGCAATTCCGCATGCCACACAAGTAACAATGGTATTTAAACACCTGCAAATGTCTAATTTATCGACAGGACGTCCACCAATCGTTTGATTAAAGCCATAAATCTGGAAGTTCTAAACCTCTATAGGAGCAGCAATCACAGATCAGGTAAAATGCTTTTTCTAAGTAGTTCAGAATTTACGAATGCTTCAAACACTCACCATTGGAAGCTGTGAAATCAATGGCCACTGTAAAATTGATCTGCGTCCTGCAAGATTAAACAGAAACGACACAACTGTTCAAAGGTTTAACTTTGAAATTGCAGGGACACACTTGTGACTTGTGCTAAGTGCTTGTCACGTGGCCTCAAGTGGCACAAAGGACCGTCCTACCGTTGGCAGTGAAGTTTGTCTCTTAACAGCCGGCAAAATGAAAATAATTGCATTGAAACAAAACGGATCAGTGACCCACTTACTCCTTCCCTGCCCGGGTTCCCTTGTGTAATGGTAAATACTCATCCGCTTATTAAACTGCCTATACGTCTAAGTAGGTACTCTTTTTGAATACATTCATAAGCGATGCTGTGTATTGCAAGACCATTAGCAGATGACTGCAGTAGCGGTCAATAGCAGTAGCGTCAGCTGAGCACTGCAGTCGTGTAGCCGACATACCATCTCGATTAGCGAGCAAGATGCCAGCAATTAGCCTCTTCCTCCTCCAGCTCGTGGGAACCAGCCGAGTTCACGTTTTCTTCTCGCTCCTGCACCTCTGATTCATTTTCATCTGCCGCCTCGGCGTATTTAGCGATTCAGATCAACCCTTAGCAAGCACCTCCATCATTCCCCACCTCGAGCAAAACACTTGTACCAGGTTCCCTTTGCCACATGCTTGAAGAAAGCAAATGAGGTTCAAACTATTTTGAGCAGAGTGCTTCGAGGCTGACATAAGAGATAAAGTGCCGGGTGGGTATAAAATATGCATAAGGAAATGCATCCTTGCTGACTACAAATAAAAGGCGAACAGCAGTTAGCATAAGTTTGTGCTACGGCTGGCTGGCCAGACAGGACCCCTCTCGTTCACGTGGTATTTTTTTTGCAGGTGTTCTTCGCGAAAGTACCGCCGAATCGCTCCCAGAGAAAAATAGGGTTCGAGGCGATTCACGAATGCTACCCTGGCACCGGCCTAAATCACTTTGTTTTTGTTCGAAGCACTAAATGATCTGAGCACGACTTCAAAGACTTCACTGTGCGTATAACGAACACCGTACGGTTTGAATTAGCTTGACTTCGGGAGATGTCCCGAGTGTACAAGGGATCTCACGGCAAACTGTGCATAAAATCAAACAAATGCAGAGCGTGGGCCGTCTGTTGGAGTTATAATGGAAATTGCTCAGCATGCTGAAATTGAAGAAAGCTAAACCAACTTCGAGCACCACTGAAATCACAAAGCACCTCTTTTCCCCGAGGAACCCGAATCCATTGGTTTTATGATGGCTCTTTTTTTGGGGGAGGGACGGAGGGGGTAGCAAAATGATAGTGTTGTTAAAGAAAACAATTTAAACTAACTTTTAACAAAACGCTGTGCTGCATTCTTGGGTCTGACCCCACGTTTTGTGTGGATTTTTTTTTAAAAAGAGTTCAAGCAATAAATGATTAAAGTGTAACAGTCTCATCTGTATGTTAGACTGATCTTTGCCCCTGAAACTCACATTAACTGTGTTGCTTTGGCATTATGCGTTGCTGGTGAGCTGTTGAAAATTATCTCGCAGCTCACAGGCAATTTGTGCAATTCTGTGGGATTTGAACTACCTGTGTCATGTACAAGACCGCTGTGTGAATACTAATGGGATTCCTAATGAAAACACTTTCCGTTGATATGTTTCGTGTGAGATCTCAGGGAATGAGTTAAGGTTTTTTTTATGTAACGCTGGAAACCTTTTTATTCACGTATGTAGAATTACATGAACCATACAGCACAGAAACAGGTCAATGGAACAAGCTAGTCAGTCATGTCTGTACACTACATGAGCCTCCAACCCCCTAATCTGCCTCTATTCCCTTGTCCCTTCTGCACGAAAAATATTTCCTGATTTATGGCAGTCACATCTAAGGCAGCTGAGGTTAAGTTATTGGAGAAAGTAAAAGAGTAATGCAAAAATCAAACGCAGAAAGCATTGTTTCAATTGTGTTGGAAGCATGGAAATTTACAGCATAGAAAAAGGCCTTCCGACCCATCGTGCCTCTGCCAGTTCTTTTAAAGAGTAAGTGTGTTGGAGCAAGGTATGGAGTATAAACACTGGCACCTTGCAACCTGATCTAGTTTCCCCCCCTCCTTTAAATCACTCAAAAACAGAAGGGAGCTTTTCCCAGTGTCATGGCCAAAAATCCTTGAGGGCATTAGCTATAAAACGTCTGCTGGATGTAACCGGCTTGTGGGCTGAATGGCCTCCACCTGTTCCTGTTTACCGGTACTCCTAAACCAAAAAGGTAAGGTAGTTTCCTTGATTTTCTTTTCTTTTGCTACTGATTACGAAGCTAAGATTTAAATTGTGCACAGTGGGAAGCCTATCAAACTTGTAGTGGTTTCCTGTAGTCACAAAGTTACTTTACGGTGTATCAAGATTACTAACTAAATGTTTGGACTGAAAATGAGCACAGTTATACGTTAGTATAAAGAAATTAGATAGAAACACTCCCTTCGGCACTGTATTGGAGTTGATGAGTTCAAAGTCCCAACGTGGGGCTTAAACTCACAACCTTCTGACTCAGAGGCGAGAGTGCTACCAACTGAGCCAAGCTGACACCTGTTTTCAAGTACGATATGTTTGCTGGGCAGATACTCCTGCCTCAACACCTGGGTCTGTGTGTACAGAGATCGCAGACAGAGTGCCTGCAAGTGCACAAGTTTTTAAGCTTTTTAAGAGTATAAAGGTGTCTCGGATTCCTGATCTGCTACCCATTGACACGAGCCTGACTGTGAGAGGCAAATAATAGCAGTGGCCTGAAGTTACAAACAGCAGACTGGATCACTTTATACAGATACCAACGTGAATTCATGCAGCACGTTTCATGTAATGTCTCAGAGAGCTAAACAATGACGATGCTGGGGACTGAACAGGGATGGGGTAAAGAGAGTGGTGATCTACCGCACGGGTGAAGAGGCTGGTTTTAAGATGGCTTTTAGATTTTAAAGACAGATATGGGGGGCGGGGGGCGTGAGGCAGAGGGGATGGAGTTCCAGAGGGTGGAGGCCACAGCGGCTGATGGTAGGGGGTGGTGTGCGGGCTCAGGGAGAATGAGACGCAGTTCTTCCAATCTGTTCTGCTGAGAACTATTGAGTATTCATATGGTATCTAGTTTTAAAAGCCAGCTCTATGTATTTTCTTAGCAGAGCTGAAGCTCCCTTTCAAGTGACAAAGCACTGTAAACAGGTGAAATGTCTTTTGCGATGGATTTGTTAGCGTGAATGTCAAGAAACAAAAGTCTTTCTGCAAACTCAGCCCACGGATTGCTTTATCTTTTACCCTGGCTGGTCCTCAGGGGGGGAAGATGGATCAATGTTGCAAAGAAAGAAAAACAGCAGGAGATAATCAGAATGTTAGGTAAACATTACGCAAAATGTCTGTGTCTACTTAACAGACAAACTCCACTCACCCTCCTTTAATATAATCGAGGAATGTGTGCTCAGATTCAACGGTGAACGATAACAAAGTGACCTGAGGGGAACAGGGAGAAAAATGGTTCGTTGTAGATTCTTCATGCAAACATGTTCATAATTGCAGCCAAATGCGAAAAAAAATAAGCTGATACGCAACACAGCTTTGCTTCTTCTTGCAATTAAATGTAGTGGAGTAGAGAAAGCACTTTAGCTGAAGGTATGTTTATTTATACCAAATGCAGTAATTCACATTAAACCAAGATATGGATTCACTGAGAACCAATACAGTATAAATCCACTATTACCCAGTAGTTTGATTCGGTTGCTTTGCTGCACCTTGTCATGTCCTGCGCCAATGCAAACAAACAAAAACCACACACTCAAAAAACATCTGGGCCAAAAATGATAATAACGACTTGCATTTATATAGCGCAAATATAGGTTGCGTCTCAGAGTGCTTAATAATGAACTGAATGCTTAGCATATTGAGGTCAATTTTTGCATAGTGTCTTTAAATAAACAAGGACTTTATCCATCATTGGTGCCAAACTGATGAATATTCTATTACCCCACAATCATCCCCCTACAAAACACACGGTCACTGCACTTTAGCGCAATTCCTGTGAAGCGCTTCGAGACGTCTCGACAACATGATAAGGGACTGGCTATAGTATCAACTGCAAGGATTATTATATCATTTTTGTTATTAAGTAATCCTGCAATGTTAAAGGATGGCGAGTAGGATCCACTGCCAAGGATTTATCAACAGGTATATCACACTGATTATGAAATAGGTTCAGTTACGCAGAGAAACATCTCACTTGCTGGGTCAATACACTTTTGGATCTTCATTGATGTGCTTGAGGACTCATTCCTTCAGTTTTTCTGTATTATTTCTATTAATAGAACTGGACTAAAAATTGGAATTGGTATTGAGCGCAAAGTCTTATAAATTCAACAAAAAAAACATGAGAATAGGCCAAAAATATTTCTGCAGTTATTTTAGAATTTCACTGCTGAAAAAGGCAACAGCTCCTTTGAGAAACCTTGGCAGGTTAAACAAATGCCACGCAATATTTATTTTTGGATTGTTAAGAAATAATTAGATTTTACACACTTTTTTGATTAACGTTTTGAAACGTCTCCAGACTGAGGAATTAAAGGAAACGTAACTAAACAGCAGCAACTGCTGAAAAACACACAAAAAAAAATACTTACAGTTCCTGAATGAACATATTTCTTCTTCTTTATTTTCTTCTTGGGATTTATTACCTATAAAAAAAATTAAATAAACCAAGATTAGTTCCAACGCCAGCAGAAAGCACATTGGCTGCAGGGGATTTGTATGGGGATTTGTTTAACAACAGCATTAGAGCTCTTTAGTGCTAACTGGCAGAGACTCATCTACATCAGGAACTGGATTGAGACTGCCATAGCTCAGTTCACCTTGCCTCTAAATGACTGAAAGAGATAAGGACTTCTTCATATTCCTGCCAGGCCAAATTCCATCAGTGACCCAACCCATTGAGGCACAGTTTCCCAGAGAATTGTACAGTAAAGCTCTTGGGAAATAATTGCGAAACAGTCAGCGAACTGACTAGAAGGAACTCACATTTCATCTCAGCTTGGGCTCAAGTGTTCTTTCATTTGAGCTGAGATCAGAGTTCTTGATAGATTGGCACAAAATTATCCTGGCATTGGAATCTGCGTGGATGGGATTTCCTTGGAAAATTGAAGATGGAGTTATGTTGGGAACAGGTTTACTAGTGACGCACCTGGTAGCCAGGAAAATCATTGCCCCCTGAAATAAAAGGATCTCTGGGTTATCAGCCTCCCACGTGTAACAGGAAAGCTTTCTGACCTGACCAGCTGGTATTACCCATCTTCTAACTGAACCTCAAGGGTGGACCCCCAAGTTCTCTGAACACCCCTCTGGCTTTGGCGCTGTGGTTTGGGCCAGAAAATGGCAACGGCCTATTGGTGAAGATTTCATCTTAACTCAGCCTCGAAGTAGCATTCGGTTTGCGCCGCAGGGTTTCACTGAGCGGGTATTCAAGATATCTCTGTCATTTCGTTTCAAAAGAGTCTTCGGCATTGCGCCAAAGTCAGAAAGGGCAGGGGTGGGGTTAAAAAAAACTTTGCATTGTTTCACCTCACGGTCATTTCGAAGGTTATATTCTTAATCCCTAGAACTTCTCTCTCTCTCTCTCTCTCTCTCTCTCTCTCTCCGTTGTCTCAGTTTCAAGCAAAACTGCCTGTGGAGGTCTCAATCCAGTCTGCAACACAACATTGCCGCTAACGTCAATAATGCCAAGCGACAGAGGTTAATGAGGGAAAGGTACAACAGTTGTGCTATTCTGAGACCGGGATCGAGCTACGTTCTAAGATCATCGCAGAACAAGGAGACGGAACTTAACCTTTGCACTGTAATTGACCAAGCACAATTTGATGCTTTTATTGGTTGTAAATGACCAATTCCCAACGCTGACGTCCTTTGCTTCAGTGAGCACAAAATCCACCTTAAGTCTTAAATCCCTTTAGCAAACTTGCACGCTGAAAGCTGCTCCGATGGATCGACAGACCTGGTCTAATAAGAGCCTTCCTTTGCTGTTGGAACTGTTATTCCATGACTGGCAAAAGAGAGGCAGCAGAACTGCTGATAGATAACCTGCGACAGCATGACTCAAAACGGAGCAAAGAGTTGCAATCCCTGACTGAATGGAACCTTTCCCGTGCATTGTGATTCACCGCATGCGTGCGATGACTCCTTGTTGCGCTGTTTACAGAGGCTGTGTTTTTGCTGTGTCTAGACTTTAAAGCAAAGGCAGCAGGTTGCCTTTAAAACAAATCCTCAGTGGGACGCACAGCCATTGTGAGCTGCAATCACTGTCTCTACAGTGATGTCAAATCACCCTCGAACTTCTCAGGTAGCAGCAATGCATTGTTCTCAATCTTCTTCACGCTAAAGGGAATCCTTTAGAGCACTCGCTTTGCAAGCGAGAGACCTGAGTTCAATCCCAGGCAGAGGGCGAAACCTTGGGCAAGTTTCCTTACTCCACACAGAGCCTAATAATAATCCCTCCAAAACCAAAAACAATAATAAATTGGTCATTTTCAATCTACGACTGTTTCTGGGACATTGCTGTGCGCAATTGGCTGCCGCGTTCGCCCACAAATATACAGTCAATTCACTTTACAGTGTGTTCTGTGAAGCGCTTTGGGACGTCCTCCTGACGTGAAAAGCGCTATATCAAATGCAAGGATTATTATTATTATTATTATCCTCCCATCACCACTAGCAGCTAGAATTAATCTCAATATGTGACAGAAGCTGTGGCTCACATTTTTATAGATGAACTTACTGCGGCACCGGATCGATATAACAAAGAGCAAAGTTTTTTTTTGGAGGCAGGGGGGAATATTCATTGTCTTATGCGTTTTAATTCTGTGACAAGTGCATGTTTCATTTACACCCTTCGGGTAGATATAAGCGTGATTGTGTTGCGAATGTTTATTTCCAAAATAAGCTACCCGAACTGATCCTGAAATGGGTTAAGAGATATTTAACAACTTAAGGCTGAGCAGCTTTTTTTACTTTGCTCAATTGACGCATGTTATTCTACCACATACTCGAAATTAATTCCTGCCCTTTCATCTTTACTCTACTCTCTCAAACCATGTTAGGCTCCAGTTAACAAATAATTAAAGCAAAGGACTACTCTCAGATGTCTTAAATATTGCTTTGCCTGTGGATTAACCCGATCACTGGGCATACATTCTGCCCGGGCCGAGATTTACTCTATTAATGTAGCCTTTCAGAGTGTGTAGAATTTGTCAAAATCCCTCAGAAAAAAATTAACAATAATAATAATTTGGTCACTCAATCCATAATTTGTAGGACGCTGCTCTGTGCAATTGACTGCTGTGTTTCGCCTGCGGAATATACAGCCAATTCACTTTACTGTACGTTCGGTGAAGCACTTGGAGATGTCTCGAAGATGTGATAAGACTCTATATCAAATGCAAGGATTTTTATTATTATTATTATTATTAAACTGTTTTAACTTGGAAGCCCATTTTTCTCCAGTTCTTGAAAAGAAACTTACAGGAAACGTGGCTTGAAATATTAAAGCCTGCATTTAAGAATCTGAGAAGTTCTGAATCCTCTGAAATGTTACGTTAATAGAGTAAATCTAGGTTGCAAACTTACTCACAAATCTATAATGTTACCTTTCTGTCCAGAGATTCCCGCACCCTGCTTGAAATGTACAAATCGTTTTTTTTATAGCTTTTCATGTGTCGACACTTCCTGATGACTTTTTTTTATTTTCCTCCCTCAAAATAGCAAAAGAATCTAAACAAGGGCAAATTTACTCGTGTACAGCACCTGCTCTGGACAAAATTGCTCGTGTGCTTTAAATCACCTCTTGTATTATTTTGAAGTGCCAAAATCATGTGCCTAGTGAAAAATGCAGTCTGGTCAAAATTAGGGCAATTTAAAATATCTTCATTAATGTCTAATTGATTCCTTTTTATACAGATTCCTTTATTTGTGGAGTTACAAAGAATGACACAGAACAAGCCATTTGGCCCAACTAGTCCATGCTGGTTTATATAATAATCCTTGCATTTAATACAACACCTTATCACGTCTTCGAAACGTCTCAAAACGCTTCACAGAATGCACTTTAAAGTGATTTGTCTGGGTATTTTGTGGGCGGAAAAGCTCTGTGTTTATACTCTGTACAAACCTCTACCACTCCGAATCCTCTCTATTCCCTTTAATTTCCCACCCTTCCCTTTCAAACGTACAGGAAGCTATTCCACCAATATTTGACAACGCCAGAACGTGTTTCCCTTGAACAGTGCGTATGTATCCCTTCTGTGCTACACAGCACCAAACAAACAACTGCTATCTATGGTAATATGCATGGAGCATATTAGTGAAAGCTGGTAAAATTGAGGGAGGAAGCATGCAGGTTTGGGTAAGGCGTCTCTACGTTCTCTAGTTGTAGGTGTCAATGCTGCACCATTCTAATCCATGCAATGCAATTCTAAATGCTGCGTTCTCTCATCCACAATCCTTACTGCAACCATAATTACTGTGTAAATGTACCAGCGAGCAGTAAAGCTGTGGTAAGAGCTGCTGGCATTTTGAGTCACGTTCCGAACTTGGGTTATGCGACTTCTGCATGGTTTGAATTTCCGCAGCCAAATTGGAAAGTGCAATCCCAACATTTCATTCCCGTCCAGGTTATTGGCGCATTTTAACTCCATCCAAATAAGGAGATGAATCGGCTACGAATCAGACGATTTTTATGATGTTAGGTCTTTTTCTCAAATAAATTCTGTTCATGTTTTGCCAGAATTCAAGCCCATGAGGTCAAAATGCAAATGTACTCCATCTGTTTCAAAATACAGCAGTAGTTGCAACGTGTTTGATACCTGGACGGAGAAAATAGGGGGAGAAACTCCATCTGCGAAGAGATTCACTCTTATTTGTGTCGCAATTCGGAGGATACGGAATTTGGCAAGTTGTTGAATTCAGTCTTAACTTTGAAGTTGGAATTTTGCTGTTCTTAAAAGAACCTACGGTAAAAATAGCTTCAAAATTAAGGCTGCGTTTAAGAATTTGGCCAAAACTCTGAATACTCTAAAATGCTAGATGAATAGAAGGAACTCAGATTCAGGCAGAATTTCTCCCCAGTGGCTTTCAAGATCAATACATCTGCTAAATTGAGCAGGTTTATCATGCGTTAAGTAAATAGAGAAGGCTTTGGTGGAGGGTAAGGTTTAAGAATGGAAGTCGGAAAATGTGTAACTGGTCAATGATTCTGTGCTTTGGTGGTCCGATCATTTTGACACAGTTCTATCTTGGGATTGGTGTCAACACTACTGTAGTCCTCAAAGGGTTTCAGGAGATATGCTTCACCTTGAAATGATCGAGTGACCCAGTCTTGCTACTTTTCACATGTTCCAACGGAGTCGATGCCTATGTTACCAAAACAACTTTATTAACACACACAGATCAATGATTGACGTTGGTTCTCAGAAATAGGAATACATTAATTCGGCTCTCAGAGTTAATCATTTTACCTGGAGACATCCAGCTCCTGTAAATAAAAGTGTGGGATTAAAGTCAACACTTGGCAACTCTGCTGCAGAATGGAAGTGATCCATTATGCTTCTGCCACAGTGTAGAGGTAGCCATTGATTTACACTGTGATTCCCTACATTAGGCGGTCCAACTGGATGTAGCCCGCGGGTCGATT